AAAAAAAAAAAAAAGAAAGAAAGAAAGAAAGAATCCCACCAAAAGCACTAATGAGAAACGGAGAAAGTTTTAGGAAATTGTTTATATGTCATGTCTTAACAGCAGAAACACTAAGGTACCTTGCTTTTAAATGTCAGATGTGGTGCTAATGTCTTCAATTTTAGGTTTTAAAAATAAATAAATGTTGGACATGGTAAATATCCTAGTGAAAACAAATGTGCACCAGTAGTAACAGTAGTACTTGTAGTAATATTAATAGTAGTGATATTAGTGATATTAAAAATAAGGAGAAGAGGAGGAAAGAGAAGAGAACGAATAGGAAAATGGGAAGATGAGGTATAAACAGAATTAGTGTGTTCATGTGAGAACTTAGCATGAAGAAGAGACACTGAGTAGAACAAACTGCTAGAAATAGACTATGAAAACAGAAGACAATTCCACAGTGGAATTAAAGATTAAAAATAGAGCATCTAAATGTATTAGGTTATTAAGTATGAAATGTCCAATTTCCTTCAGTACTAAGTTTGACAGTTGAAGTCCCTGACGTTTCAGTTGGACACTTCTTGTTTTATTTTTATTGTGAGGGTACATCCTCAGTCTTTCAAACACATGGCTTGTGATTATCTTTCAACTTTTTTTTACAGCAAAATTTTAAGTTTCTACCACTTAGAATCATACTAAAAAAGAAAAGCCTGGGAATGATACATGCTGGCGAAAATAATGCTACGTCCAATTCAAGTAATTTCTGGTAAAGTCAAGAAAACTGGGCGGCAAAACATCATTCAGATTTATCTCACAAGCTAAATTATGATAAACTATAAGCATAAATTAGAAAACAAAAAAGTAAATACCTTTCTTGATGTACAGATGTCAAAAAATGGCTTATTTCTGACACTAAATGGCTCCTGTGTTTTGTCAATGAGTCCAGTCTTCATTTTTTCATGTCGAGGATTTATAATTTCTCTTTCTATACACTGCAGACGAACATTAAAATCACAATCTCCAACTGGCTGTGCCTGAATTAAAGAGATAATTATTTAAATTTCATCACTAAGAACTATTTTATCAGCATAATTATCAAGGCTGCTATATAGTAGTATATAGTAGTCCATGTAAATAGCTGAGGGTTATCTAATGTTGTTCAGCCCTTAAGTGTTGCCACCTGTATGTAAACAGGTTGGGTAAGTGTTAGCTTGGAGAATATATAATAGATATATCATATAGTAGTCTATGTAAATAGCATCCTTTGAAGTTATCTAGTGAACAGCCTGCACAACCACACATGCCAGCCCCAATAATTAGTTTCAATAATGAGAGAAACATCTAAACACACACACACACACACACACACACACACAGAGACTTACTTTAAAATTATAACTACATAAAACACTATGGGAAAGTGACATGAATCTACCATACTGTAAGTTGATCCCAAGATTTCACATCTGAATTAATATACCCCTAGTCTTACTATTTATATAAATTAGTAAAATACCTACATAAAAACTAAAATCCACATTATTCAACAAAGAACTAGCAAAAAACACATCAAAATAAGCAGCACAGTCACTTATTATACAATGCTTTTTGTTGTTTAAAGTGCTAACACTTTAGATGCATCAACAAATAGAAGACATTTATTAGACAAATATAATACATCCTCAAATCTAAAACTAATACAGGAAAAATTTACATAATATGTTCAAAGTTATACAGTTATAAAAAAATAAAGTTTTCTTCTCTTCTCCCCAATAAACTTTCCCTTCATTGTTCCTAAATCATCTATGGTATGTCTGAACCATGAAATATAAAATGCATGTACCCTTTTGTATGAGTTGAGGGTAGGGGCTTGCTCTATCGATATGGTAAACATGAACACGCAGTTGCAACAAATCAACTGGTTGACAGTGATCATCTAGATTGGTAAGCATCACCTCAACAGCATATAAATGACTCTTCTATTTTACTATTGAACACCCTTCCATGTATTTTTTTCCCGTCTTTTCTGTCATCTTCCTCTTCCCTAATCTATTATATATTCTCCAACTAACACTTAACCAACCTAATGTTTACATGCAGGTGGCAGCACGTAAGGAGTGAACAACATTAGATAAGCCTCAGGTATGTCTTTTCCTCAACTTTGGAAGGATGACAACTTTGAGACACAGCAAAGAATAAGGTATACGAAAAAGTGTGCAAGAGCTAGGTATGAGGTAGAAAATGTTCTCTTTAAATAAAAGCATACCACTCTCTGTAAAGAGTATTTATTGAGGAAATGCTACTAAATAACCACACAGTCCAAGTGTGATCTTTCCTATTCAATCTACATCATCAACGAGGTTGAAAAACCTAAAATGTTAGGCTTGTTTATTAGAGCTATCAGAGGAATTCAAACGCCTATAAAATTAAAGTGGAACAAGCAAGCCCTTTTTTTCTAAGAAAGGAAAGAAAAAGTCTAACAACTGTTAAAAGATACATAAGTAGTCTAAATTCCCTCCGAGATGCTTTCCACCTTTATACATAAATTCAGCAAAACAACAGGAATAGATTGAAAGCAAGTTCACCTTCAAAACCACAATGCCTATAGGCAAAGAAGCTCTCCACAAATTGGTGTTAAATCACTGAGAATAGACTAGGGAAAACACTAAACAACTACTGACTATCTAGCCTCTCTGTTTTCAGTTCTTCCTCACTTCAAAACACTATCCATGCTGCCACTGGAGTTATTAATATCTTTCAAAACAATAAAAGCATATTCATATCATTAGCCTAACTAAAACCCTTCAACAGTCCCCTATTACATAAAGAACTAACTTATTCAAGTAACCTGGGCCCCTACTCACCAATCCATTCTCATTTTCTGCTATGTCCCACACCTCACCACACATCAATTATGCTAACAAACTATCGAATGCTCCTGACCTCCATGACTCAATCTTTCCAAACTAATTTGTGTCACTTTCACTGTCTGCAAGTCCATGCTTCAACAACTCAACTATACCCAGTGAAGTGCTCTAATACTATTTTCATTGCATACCTTTGTTGTTATAATTAAGAAATACTATATTTCTTTACATTTGTATTCTCATCCAGAAGAGTAGTCTACAAATTTGTTTTGATTTTACACCCACTCTAAACACATATCCTAACAAATGTATATAATATATGCATATTAATTTTTAATAATTTATTATTAATTTATTATTAAATGTATGACTGTATATGTTATAAAACAAAAAGTAGAATAAATAAATATATTTTTAAAATAAACAGAAGTTCTCCTATGTTCTTCCCAAACCCCAATGAATTGCTGTAGAAATGGCCTTCTTTGGAAGCCAGTGCACTAACATATGGATTCCTTAAAGGCAGGAAATCATGTCTTATTCTTCTCTATATACCCAATACCTAGAACAGTACTTGACTTATAAAAGATGGCCAGTGAAATTCTTCCTGGACAAAATAATAAACTAAGGAACTAAAAATATTTTTAACTATTATTTCAAAAAACAAAATTTTTTTCCAGTAGTGGCCTTGACTTGGTGAAACAAAATAAACAACATGGTTAATTATTCATGAAGGCTCCATAGTATATTAAAGAACTAAATATGAAGCTTTCAATTATAAATGCATCCCAATATCAGAAATGTGAAAAATTCTTTGTGAAATTGCTGAAAAATAATAAAAAAAAGAAATATGAAAAAATATTTGACTTTAGATCATGAAATATGGTAACAGGAATACAAGAAATACGTATTGAATAAACAACTATCGATCTAAAGACAAAAGCATAAGTTAATCATTTTTAGAATATGGATGGATTTCTTAAACAAGACACAAAAGCACAATCTTTGAGGTCTAAGTTGACTTCATTAAAATCAAAAGCTTCTGTGCATCAATAAATACTGATTTCAGAAAGTTATTATGTGCCGAAACAATAACCAAAAACGGACTAGAATCCAGAAAAGATAACAGATTCCTATATAAGAAGAAAGAAAGATAGACAACCAAATAGAAAAATCAGATTATACAACCTTGCAATGAAATGACAAAATAAAAATATAAACAAATAAAAAGAAACCTATGAAATATGTTCAACTTCATTACTAATCGGGGGAAAAAACAGACAACCAAATTTTAAAAATTAGAAGATTGTGTTAGACTTGTAATTAAATCACACCAAAAAAATCCCAAACAAGTAAAAATAAACATATAAAACATCTTAAACCTCATCAGTAATCAGAGAAAAGCAAATTAAAACAAGATGAGATACCATTTGACACACCAAACTGTCAAAAATTTAAATGTCTGGTAAAGCCAACTGCAGCAAATTGTAACAACTATGAGAGGAATTTGGTAACGCAGCTAATGAAGCTGAAGTTGTGAACTTAATCATAATCTCCATGGTGTAGTGATGAGAGACTAGATGTTTTAAAAACACCTTCAAGGTAATTACATCCCAAGAATGAGAACAAATGTCCCAGGGAAACTTTCATACATATGCACAAGGAAAAATACATGCAATTGTTCAAGCAGTAGTAATATAATAGCAAAAAGTGGAAATACAAATATCCACCAAAAGGAAAGAGGATAAATTCCTCTTTGTTGTATTTATTTGTATATATTTATACAAAGGAACACTCAATGGTAATTAAAGTGAATGAACCAAATCTACGGCATCAATACAGATAAATCTTAACAAGGTAACGTGGAGCAAGTGGTGGGTAGCACAATATAATGACATTTATATAACACTAGAAACCCTACAAAAGAATATCACATGTATTTCATGGATTCACACATAGGTATTAATAGTAAAAGTATTTAAAACATTCATGGGATAACAAACACCAAATTCAAACTAGAGGTTGCTTCTGGGCAAGAGAAATGAAAATAGGATGAGAGAGGTGTAGCCAAAAACTTCTATTGGATTTGTAATTAATTATTTCTTATTAAAAACATTGGCCAGGTACAGTAGCTCATGCCTGTAATCCTAGCACTCAGGGAGGCCAAGCCAGGAGAATTGCTTCGGGCCAGAAGTTTGAGACCAACCTAAGCAAGACCAAGACCAAGACCCTGTCTCTACAAAAAACAGAAAGATTAGCCAGGCGCGATGCCATGCACTTACAGTCCTAGCTACTCAGAAGGCTAAGGCAGGAGGATCTCATGAGCCCAGGAGTTTGATGTTACTGTAAACTATGATCATGCTACTGCACTCTAGCCCAGGCAACAGAGCAAGACTCTACCTCAAAAAAAAAGATCTAGGTGGTCAGTACATGAGTATTCCTTATATTATTCTCTATGTTCTTATATGCTGAAATTTTTCATATTTTTAAAAAAGTATTAAGAGGCTGTAATCTAAGACAGAGCTCCCAGGCTAAGAAGTGAGACCACACTGAACACAGCAGAGCTCAATATCAAGAGGCAAAGGAGACAGCACTTCTTTATACATAAAGAATCAAAGCCAGTCCCATCCCCTTATGTCTAGTTATAAGCCAATGAATGTTATTCCAAGATCCGTGATAAGATTAAGCCAATTCTGGAAAGCATTACTTTTGAGGAATACAGTAGTCACAAACAGAACAAAATGAAAATTTGGTATCTTCTGGCCTTGAGGCTCTTAAATCTGAAACTATGTTTGAAATATAGAGATTCAATCAAAAAATGAGATCTGTACATTGAAATTTTCCAGGAAAAGAAAGCCTTTAAGTAACTCAGATTAATGCAATCCTGACTCTTAATACTGTAATTTATTATGCATTCGACACCTCGTAATCACTTTCTCTTTTGTTTTGTCGTTGTTTTAGTGACAGAAATAAAACTTCTAGGCATTTTTTTAAATCAAGTACAAGATTAATAATTAGTAATTAAAACCAAGAAATTTCCATTTTACAAAATGTTGTCTTATTTTATCAGAGTTAAACTCTTTTTCTTTACTCGAAGTTAAAGAAACCTAAAGACAAAGAAATATGCAAAATATTAGGCAATAAGAGAAAGAAAAAGAAATATAAAAACATTAACAAAAAGATATCCAATGAGTAAACTGAGTCACAATTTTTCTCTCCTACTATCTCTGAGGCAGTAATACTGTTCGTTTAAAAAAATCCATTATTTCAGTGACAATTTTTATTTTTTAAATTATAAAATGTACTTACGTTGAATTTAATTATGTCATATATCAAATATCTAGGAACAGCCTGTCCATTTACTCTGTCAATAATCATTTCCTTGAAAGAGAAAAGAAGATAAGTTTCTTCATACTTTGATAGCAATTTCTTTAATTTGACTGAAATATAGCATATACACAGTAAACACATAAATCGTAAATATACAACTTAATGAAATTTTAATGACAACTGTACTCAGATCAAATCAGTAAGTTATCAGTCCCCCAAAAATCCTTTTCATTCATTTATTCTATATTGAAATAAAATCATGACAATATCACATTATATTTTTTATATTTGAATTACTGTGCTACACTCTGTATTATGCTTGAATTACTAGGCAACAATTAAGGGTAAAGAGACTATAAATTTTAAATTCTAAAAGTCAGAGTGACTTTTAAAATTAATTTTGTTTAATCATTAATGCTTTAAATTTTGTTATATGCCAATTACTTTAATCCTAAAATCTATAACTATAAATGGCACCCTCATTATAGATTTGATTTCCATGTGACCCATGTGGTCTTTCTTGTTTTCATGTTGTTTTACTAGACTTTGATCAAAGGGAGCAGGGCAAGACAGTATGAACGAATCACTGCAAATCTACCATAGCCATTAAGAAGTCAAAACAAATTCTGCACTCTGACAGAAAGAGATAAGGATGTTAAAGGCTGATTCTGGGTGTATAATGCAGTATTTTATAAAATTTTAATTCTTAATAAGTTTTTGACCTAAAATTTTTTTTTCCTCATATTCTTCCTAGGAAAGTAGTCAGGTTTCTTGCTATCTGATTTCATGACAGAAAATCCACACACAATCATCTAAAAATTATAAAGAATACACTGATTTAGGAAAAATATATTTTGTTGTTATAAGAAATCATTACCAATTAATTTCTTTCCTGAATATGAGTTTGTTAAGCAACAGACGTTTACTTATAGATATCATCTTTAACCCAACACCTGACATAAATGTTTGCTATTTTAAACTTTTCGTTGAAATATTTTTAGTTAAATACTTGTATTTGAGCATTTTATGTACAAACAAGGTGGTAGCAATAGGTTTCAATTAATATTCTTTTCAAAAATGTGTGACTGGAAATTAAGTGGACATCCAGGTTCAGATAGGAGACAGCACAGACTTTCCTTCCCAAATTGCATGATGAAATGAGCAAGAACATGTTTCCCTTTATACATTATTTTAAAAAGCCAAAAAGAAAATTTATTAGCAGCAAACGAAACAGGTATAAAGGAATAACCAAATGATAAGCTTTAAAAATTTATAGCCAAGGAAACGACCAAGATTCTGGTAAAACAAAAAGGCACAGCTGGTCAGCTCAAAGCCCACTAAACCTCTACTTATAAAATGACAAATTCCTGACAATTTTCACTATTATAATCAAATATAAACAGAAACAGACTCAGTGGTTTCTTTCTCTTTTTTCCCTCTTCTGACTGAGGAGTAATTCAAATAGCTGAACACTCTGAAGTGAAGGCTCCAGGAATCTATACTGAGTTAGAGAAATTATCTGAACATTATGAGAATAAAATACGGCTCCTAACTAGGTGAAGAAGACCAAAAGTTCTTCAGAGAGAACAGAACCCATGAATTCCAACAAAAACCTAATACCTAAGGTGGTAATACCAAAATATTGGGAATACCCAATGACCCCACCACCACAACGTCCCCTTCCCTATAACTGCCACCATTGTCCTAAACTACAGAAAAGTGGGTCAAGATAAAATAATCTTAAATTTTAGTTATGAAAATTGGAACCTTGTGCACTGCTGGAACTGTAAAATGGTACAACCTCTCTGGAGAGCAACATGGCAGTTACCTTAAAAAAATTCAAATCAGAACTAGCATATGATCCAGCAACCCAATTCAGAGTATTATGTCCAAAAGAACTAAAAGCAGGATCTCAAAGAGATATCTGCACACCCATATTCACTGCAGCATTATTCACAATAGCCAAGAAGTGAAAGCAACCAAATTTCCACCAATGGATAAATAGATATGCAAAATGTGGGTATATACACATAGTGGACTATTATTCGACCTTGAAAAGGAAGGAAATCCTGTCATATGCTACGACGTGGATGAACATTGAGGATATTATGCTAAGTAAAATAAACAAGTCACAAAAAGACAAATACTGTCTGAATCCACTTAAATGAGGTATCTAAAGTAGTTAAATACACAAAAACAGAAAGTAGAATGGTGACTGCCAGGAGGTGGGGGGAGGATAGAATGAAGTGCTGTTTAATGGGTACAAAGTTTCAGTTCTGCAAGATGAAAAATCTGAGATCTAGTATACAAGTGAATACACTTAACACTATTGAACTGGTATACCTAAAATAGTTAATATGATAAATTTTATGTTACATGTTTTTTTAATCACAATTAAAATTTTAAATTAAAAAAAAAAGTAGTTAACAAGTAAAAACAAACTTCCCTTTGCAACCAAAACGGCGTAAGAGGCACTGGATTTACTCTCCTACCGGAAATAACTAAAGACATGGACAAAATACATGACGCAATGAGTTTTAAGATACTGAATATTCGGCCACAAGGGGCAGTAAACAAATTAGATGAGCCCTACAATTGTCTCATGTATTGCCCTAAGGAGAGTTTCCAGGCTTTGGCGCAGGCAACGGGATCACAGGTGGAGCCTAGTGGTCTCCCTGAGTTGAGAAAATGGAACAGGCTGTCTAGGGAGACCAAGGCAGAATTACTCAGGGTAGAGTATAAAAGAAACAGAGAGCTGCCCTCAGAGAAAGAATTCCAGAGATCTGCAAAAGGACACCCTTGAATATTCAACAGAGTACCAATCAGTGTAGACATGTGAGGAAACTACCCAGGCCAAGCTAAGAACCACCAAAAAGTCTTAGGGGGAACAGTATCTGCTATCGAGTACAGGGATGGAAATAATGCCTGTTCCTACCAACTAGATTAGAAAATCTCGTAATTCACAAGTCATTGAGTAATGAGAAGAATCTTGTCTCAGTAATGGGGAAGAATTATCCCTAGACTAGATACTACTCTCATCTACCTAACAAATCTTAAAAGCAAGACCCAAAAAGGACAAAATAGTTCTAAGCAAATTAATTGTATTCCAGAACAAAGCTAAAGAAAATTTATAGCAATATAAAAACAATCAGTCCTCAAAAGAAGGTAAAGTTCAAAATGTCTGATATTCAATCAAAATTGCCAGGCATGCAAATATAAGCTATAAAAAAGAGGAAATCAATTGAAACAGGCCCAAAACTGACAGAGCTATTAAAGTTAGCAGGCAAGAATGCTAAGACAGTTTATTACATATTCATACATAGTAAAAAACATTCAAAAGTTAAGTAGGGACATAGATACGAAAAAGGAATCAGAATGAATTTCCGAAGATAAAAACTGCAATGTCTGAATTGAAAAATACTGTGGTTGCGATTAATAGCAGTTGAAACAGTGCAGAAAAAAAAGATTAGCAAATGAGGATATAGTAATAGACACCATCCAAAATTAAATATGAAAGAAAAAAGATTTTTTACAAACTGAAAACAGCATTAGTAGTTAGATCTTAAAGAGGGGAAGGGTAGAAATGGTGCTGAAAATTTTTCTACTTTTGATGAAAATTGTAAATCCAAAGACCAAAAAAAAAAAACCAAAAAAAAAAAAGCACAATAATCCTGAAGGAATAATCCCCAAGCACAAGAATCCTGAAGGAAACTACACCAAGGCACATCAACTCTATAACTGTCAAGAAATTGCTCCATTGTCTTTTGTATTAAATGTTGCTGTGGAGAAATCTGAAACTTGAACCATTCATTACAGCCCCTACCAAAAAAATAAATAATTCTGCAAGTTTACTTTCCTACCCTGTGTACTTTCCCATAATGAAAGTCCCCAGGCACCCAATCCTGCCTGCTCATCCAGTATTTCCTGAGCCCAAACTATGAATTAGGCATAGCTCTAAGTACTCGAGAAACAAACATACAGGTCCTACCTTCAACAGATTTAGAGTCTCGGAAAGAGAGAAAAATATATAACTAGTTAGGTCCAATGAAGAGTTACAGTTTTAATGATAGATGACTATATAAATAGAATAACCCTGTAGCCTACTGTCCAAACCAGGATACTGTAAAACAGATTGCTATTAATAATTATACTAAAACAGGTGTATACCTGGTCCTATACTAGCCAATTTAGGATACAACTGGTGGAAGTCTAAATAGAAGGAGTAGTTACTTCTACTTGAAGAATAAGAAAACATTTGATAGTAAGGTATGTGACCGTTAGCTCAGTCCTGAAAGTTGAAGAGAATATTTTCCAGCAGGATGGTGGATGGGCCAAATGGTATAACGAAGGCACAAAGAAAAGTTGATTTGGGGTAAATTGTCCAAAGCTCAATATAGGTAGAATTTATGGTTAAGGATCACAATAAAAGATGAGACTGAATACAGAGGCATGCTCCAGATTTATGGAGTATTTTGGTAAGTAATTGGCCTTTATGCTTTGGGCAAGGAGGAACCACTGAAGGGTTTTAACAAGAGAAAGTAATCTCTTTCCTTTTATTAACTGTTCTCTGGAAAACCTGTGAACCTTCAAGGCTCATCTCTGTAACCCAGTGGTCCCCAAACCGTTTTGGCACCAGGGGCCGGTTTCATGGAAGACAATTTTTCCATGGACTGGGGATGAGGGGGTGGGGTGTTGTGAGTGGGCAGGGATGTGGTGCGGAGCTCAGGTGGTGATGTGTGCCCGTTTCCTACCAGGCCACAGCCTGGGGGTTGGGGACCACAGCTGTAAACCCATTCCTTGAAATCTTCCATACAAGGCCTACGGGCTTCTAATTATCACAGTCCATCTAGGTGATGAAATGTTCTAGAATTGAACAGTGGTAATGGTTGCATAGCCTTGTGAATATACTAAAAACCACTGAATTGAACACCTCAAAAAGGTGAATTTCACAGTATGTGAATTATATCTCAATTTTAAAAATAAATAAATTAAAAAAAAAAAGAAATCCTAAAAAGCAGTTCTTCAGAATGAAAGGAAATAGTGGAACCACCTAAAATAGTTAATATGATAAATTTTATGTTACATGTTTTTTTAATCACAATTAAAATTT